CGAGATTCGCGTCTCCACACATGGGGCACCAGACACAACATTGTCATGGTTTTGCATGGGAGATATTTAGGGAAGTGATGCAAACTTCTAGCTGTTGGAAAGCTGGACACTGTGAAAAACACATGTTAAAGATGGAAGAAACCCAGGAACTTCCACTTTCTCTTCTGGCCAGCAAAGAGGTAACACGCCCCGGCCCCCTCTCTTGGCCAGGCTGGCCTGTGGGCCATGGGGCCGGACCTCTAGCCCCCCGCCACCAGCTGCCAGGCAGGGGAGGGGGTGCCGTGGGCCAGGCCATGACTGCAATTTCAGGGCTGAGCTGATTCCACCGGGCCCCAGGATCAGCCCAGGGCCAAGCCGGCTAGCCAAAATGCTACCACCACAACCACCAGGTAGTGGTAGAATTTTGAGCAAAATTCTACCCCCTCCGCCCCTTCCTCCCCTGGCACACTGCTGTTGAGTTCTGGCCTGTCTGATCCCCACCAGGGTCAGGCTGACCATCTGCAGGCCCCAGGTGAGATATTAACTCTTTCAGTGCTTCAATCCTCCCTCGAGTGAGAGAAAGGAACAAAAGGCAAGCATGTAAAGCAGCAACATGAAGACATCAAGGTCAGTGAAGAAGTAGTCAAGTCCCAGACTGGAGGGATGAGGAGATGCCTCAGTCTTGGGGCTGAAATCCTCTGGAAAAGCTATGGAGAAAGACTCTTCTTCCCTATAACGCATGAAGGTATGGGGAGATGAATATGTTCAAATTGTAGATATTGAGCAAAGGCCTCCATGCTAAAGTAAGCAGATGTAAAAGTAGCTGTGATTCTATGAGAAGTTTGAACAGAGGGGAGTGATCCTGTGCCCCCTGGAAGAGAAGACCTCTGTTCCCAGAGATGAACATGATTTAAGAGTCAGATAATGAGAACTTTTGTCTTTGAACAGCTCATCTTTAAAACAGTACCCCATAAGTTGACCTGGCCCATAAACACAGCTGTGGGAAAAGCTCATGGAAAATAGGAGGGACATTACGATTGCAGATTTCCTTGGATAGCTGCTATTTGCGACAAAATTGAGAGCCACAAGAGAACTGGTTTTTTTTCTTGTGGAGAAGTCTCCATAACATTTACAAGAGGGACTTCTCTCCCTAAGTGAACTGAAGAAATACTATTCTAGAGGTGGTAAACTGACTGAAATTTAGGTTTTGTTTCTTTACATTTTCAGTGGGAAAGAAAACGTTGTGGGCGGAGGAGAAGTGTTCTGAAGGTTTTGTTCTCATTCTTATTACCCCTTTTAGTTACTGCTAATAAAATTTTCTTTATACCCTTTTAAAGTTTTGAGCCTGCTTTGCCTTTGTCCAAATTCTACCTCACAGCAGGAAGTGAGTGCACAGGTGATTGAGCAGTATCAAACCTGCCACATGCCTAAAAAGAGAAATTTCCACTGAAAATGAGATTCATATTTAATTTTTGTCTGTTTCCATTAAAGAGAATGAACAAACCCGAAAAATTATATTAACCCATCTTCCACCTCATGTCCTTTCCTCAATCCATTTACAAAGCAAAGTTAGGGCGAGTCTTCCATTCAGGTGCGTCTTCTCTTTATGCTGTACTGCAAATGCTCCTGATAACAGCATTTCCATCCAAGGCAGATCTTCCTGTGGCTAACAGAGCAACTCAGAGATTTCCCTGAGGAGCACAGCAGCTGTTCCACATTCAGTGACCTGCATAGCCCAAGACACTCTGGCTGCTGGACAGACAGTGCTGGGACTAGTGTCGTGTCTAATGCCCCATGTGTGGAGACGCGAGTCTGGACTCCATGTTTCAGAAGGCTGGTTTATTATATTAAGATATATATTATATTAAAATACTACATTAAAACTATATTAAAAGAATAGAGAAAGAAGATCATCAGAAGGCTAGAAAGAACAAGAATAGAATCCATTACAGACTTGTGACTCTCAGAGTCCAATGCAGCTGCATCTGTGATTGGTCTTTAATTAGAAACAACCACCATGCACCAATCACAGCTGCATCTGTTGCATTCCACAGCAGCAGATAGTTATTGTTTACATTTCTTTCCTGAGGTCCTCAGCTCCTCAGGAGGGAAAAATCCTAGCAAAGGATTTTTCATAAAATATCATGGCTACAGGACTAGGACGTGGATTGCTAGCATACTCAGGATCCCTGGTTGCCCTGAGCCTCTCCAGAGAGACAGGGCTGCTCTGACCCGCCTGGTGTGCCACTCCTGAGCAGACTGACATATGGCTGTGACAGCACTGGAGACCCTGCTCATGAGCAGAGAGCAGAGTCTAAGGGTTGAAGGAGCTGGAGGCACCTGTGTCCCCAGTGGCTCAGGTGACAGGTTGCTACATTTCATGATGTGGTATTACAGTGATCTGGCTCCCTCAGGATTCAGGCAGCTGGCTCCACTGAAAATCTCTCAGGCAGCTGTCTTGAGGGAAAAAAAAAAAAAAAAAAGATAATTTCTTGATGCTGCCCTTATTCTTTAGTACTGGAAAATGGGAGGAAATTTTCCTCTGCAATTCAGAGTTAGTACACGGACAAAGAAGCTGAAAAGAATAACTAAAACAAGGGTCACAGAAAGCATTATATATGAACAATGTCTTCAACTTTCAAGAGTAAAATAGCACTGATAGAGAAAATATTTCCAATAAAATGGCCTATTTTGATGATTCTGCATTTTGGGAGAGCAGAAAAATAATTTTAAATTATTCTTTTTAGGTAATTTTAAGTAACCTTCCATGTCTTTGAGTGTGGTCCATGTCTCCCATTAGTGTTGGTGGTCACTTCCTGGTTTACCCCTCCCCTCTGCCCTCCTCACTTGCATCCCATTGGCTGTTGCCCCTTTCCTCCACCCCAATTCCCCTCAGCTCAAAATCGCCTGGGAGAAGGTGACTCCCTCTTTTCCATCTGGGCAGTCACCTGGATGATTGGTGTCTCCTATTAAGGAAATAAATGTAGGACTCAGTCCTCACGTGGAGAAGAGCACTTCTCGTCTTTTGCCTTTTGTACTGTGCAAGATCGTGTGGGCTGGAGTCCATAGCTAGCTGGATTGGACCAGAACAGCCTGTCCAGACACTAATTCTTACAGTGAATGAGACCCATACTGTATTCAAGGGCATGAAAGAGAGTGAAAGGCCCCTTCACAGGGTAATTCACCTTCCTGCATTGCCTGTCTCTGTTGGGATGACCAGTGGAGAGAGCCATTTCACCATCTTAGCACCCATTATCTTCTGAAAAGATGTCCCCCAGAATACAAGTAACAACCCCATAAGGAACAATTTCACCCAAAGATTAAATTATGGACATGGGGAAAGAGAAACGGAAGTGAAGTAGTACAAGCAGAATTTGAGTCCCACTAATGCAGGACCTAAGTATTAAAACTTCACATGAAAGTGACCCTCTTATAGGATTTGATGACATAAAATACTAAGATGTGAGTATTTCATCATGAGAAGTCTGGTTTAGGTGTTACCTCTCCTCAGCTCTGGACATTGCCTTACATGCCTGACTGGATGCAGGACAGAGCCATTGCCTCATCCAGGAATTTGTATTCATTTCTGGAGTAGTGTGTGGTAAACAAAAGGTAGAAAAGTTAAAAAGAGTTGAAAAAAAGCAATAGAGGTCTGCTTCTGCTTCTACCAAGGGATGGCAGGCTGGTACATAATTTGTTTTGTGGCAGTTGCTTCATACGTGTCATGTAATCCTGACATAATAAGTCACGTGCAATCATGAAAGATTGTTCCTCGGCAGTTCTTTATGGGCCTATACCTCCAGACAGTAGCTCCTGCCAGTCTTCAAAAGTTCTCCTGCACTGATCATTTTGATGGGCCATCTTCCCACCAGGACACTGGGTCTGAACCTCTCCTGGAACAGCCATAGAGGGTCCTGGGCAAGGTCCAGTCCCTTTTAAGAATTCTTAACTCTTGCAGTGCATTGCAACTGGGTTCATCGTGTCCAGGGAGGGTGTAGCTGCCGGTGCCGGGCATGGGAGCAAACAAGATAGGTTCTCATTTCAGAAAGCTCGAGAATCCAGTTATTACCGCCAGGGAAGAGGGGTGGGATGGAGACCAAAGAAAGGGCAAATGCAGGATCGTGGGGTTATATAAGGTATCACAGGGGTGGAGTTTAGGGTATGGGTCAAGGGAGGAGTTATTAGCAACACAAGAAGGGTAAGATCAAATTCCTGCCTCTTAGGAACAGGGGCACTCCACAGCTCCCCAGTGTGATAAATAGGTGTGATTCGTGCTGATAAAATTGAAACAGTAATCAATATGGATATAGTAATCAATATTTGGAGATAACAAAATGGTTAAAAAGGTAAAAAGCTAAGAAAGCGGAGGGGAAGGGTCCACCCCCCCATTATCTTTTGCAGATGTTCGAAGCAGGAAAAGGAGTCAGATAAAGCTTGCTAAAATTAACTGAAAGAGGGAAAACTTGAGTGGAAATCAGAAATATGTTAATTTATAAGATTTATTATATTGGCTTATATAATTTTAGTTTGGCATATATGATATTAGCTTAGTGCGCATGTGTAACCCAAAAGTGAAATAAAAGACACCTGAGGAAGAGGAGCGGCCTTCATCTGGACGACCCCCAAAGAGTGGTGCGACCCCCTAAAAGATGGTGGCGCATGCGTAGTGAAGATGAAGATGAGGGTGGAGACACCAGTGTGATGAATCGAAAATAGGAAGGGATGCTGATAATAGACGGGATAAAGGGGGGAATTTTGGGCTTGGCAAGCTTGTACGTGAGGTGGCAGGGGTCCCAAGGCCCTCGCACTCCGTACCCCGCGGTAATTTTGCTTATGCGTCATTACCCGAACCAGACTATATTTTATTATAACCAAATTATACTGCCAATTTATTGAATGTATTCAATTTTATATTTTTCAACTATTTCAGTTAAATTTTATTAAAATTATTGTTACATTTAATTTTGTTTGGCCTTTTATTTTGTGATTAGATAATTGAGCAAACATAACACCAGTTTTTAAACTAATCAGTGCATGCTGAATAACTTATAATAAGGGGATTCTCAGAAATATGACTTAATAGTTTACAAAAGCAAAATGAATATTATTAAGCTAAATTAACAAGGAATAGAAAAGCATTTGGGACTTAATCACAAAGGATAAAGTAACAGAAATGATGATACCTGATTAAATGAATACATTTTTACTTAATGAGTTAATAGTTCAATCTCCTCTGGCTTTTGGTCTTCTCACCAGAAAGGGTGCAGTGCTTTGATCTCCTCTTCAGAGGGGGCACAGTCCTTATTGTTTGGTCTCGGCTTTGGTACTGATGTTGGGGGTGTTGTTATCTTCAATGATGATGACTGCGAAGCGAGGGAAGAGGCGAGGTCCCCGGGCGTAGGGCTTGGAGCGGGGCCGGGGCCGGGGCCGGGGCCGGGGCCGGGGGCGAGGCCGGCAGCGCCACAGCAGGGTCTGGCCTCTTCGCGGGGCCGAGCAGCCCGCCGCTCCTTCACTGCCACGCGGGCCCGGAGGGGGCCAGCTGCGGCAGGAAGTGGTGGGGGAAGGGGAGGATCGGGACCGGAAAAGAAGGACTTCGGCAGGAAAAACGGGAATCTTAAACTGCGTGGTAAGCGCCTTTTTATAGAAGGAGGGCCCAGAACGGCGCGGCCATCACCTTGTAGGGAACGGGGGATATGTGGAAAGACGGGGCGGGGGGGGAAGGAGGACACAGGAGGGCGACAGGACAGTAGCGCTCCTGTGTCACTCTGGACGGATTCCGTCCCTTGTTCTGCCTTCAGGGAAAGGGGGATAGGGTGGCGGAGTAGGATATGGTGTGACGGAAAGACGGTAGCAACTCCGTGCCGTCCTCGCAGTTTTCCCTCTTTGCCGCACTCTTAGGAACAGAAGGGTAAGGAAAGATATGGGCAGCTTCACCGAAACTGGAAAACGTGGGGTTTCACAGGAGGAGGGATCACAGATCTAGGGCATAGACTTGGGCAGAGTGGATCTGCACGAACAGAGCAGTGCACTATGTAAGGGCCAGCTGGCACTGTCCCGTAGCTATGACAGAAATGTCTCCAGCCTCCTTCTGCAAAGCTCCGCAATCAGGGAAGACCAGGTCTGGTCAGCGTGGGAAGTCAGAAACCTTCAGAGAAACTGTGGTGGCTCGAACAACAAATACCATTGGTCTGGAGATAATCAAATCCTTTAATCTGTTTTTAGTCTCTGTATTTTGAAAGCTGCTTCTTAGAAATTTTGCATCAAGTGATGCTTTCTTGTCAGTCTCTCGGTTCACTGTTTAGCAGGTTCACAGGGACTTATATCGCATGGGTGGGGCTAGATACACTCCTCCCATCTCTCAGCTCAGGTGTCTGATGGCTGTATCAAGGGCTCACATTATTAAATCTTAATCCAACTTCTTTATTTTGTCAAGAAATAAAACTCCCCTCAAATCTCTCCTCATGAGTTATGGCTTCTAATTATAATTTTCTCTGCAAATACAGGAATTGGCTTTTTTTTTTTTTTTTCCTGGTTCGTAAGAATAAAATATACTTCCCAGGAATAATTGGTCTGACTGCCCTTTCTTGCACAAATACATTGGAAATCCTCTGGAGGTTTCTCTGGAATATTTTTTAAAATTTGGAAACCCTATTCCAATGCTATGCTATTGAATGAAATGACACTAATAATTTACAAGCCATATTCCCTCTTTTTCCACCCTTAGGGAGGACTGTCCCAAACTAATTTTTTTGCCAGCAGGTAAAAATACCAAGTAAACACATTTTCTTGTCTTCAATCCATGACAGTTTAATGCCAAGGGAAGATAAGGAAGAAAAATTAAGTAAGCTGCTTTTTGTTCTGCTAGGGGGGCTAGTTTCACATCAAGAATCAGCAAAAGAGCTATTTCATAGGACAGCAAGTTTTAGCTGATGTCAGTGAAAAAAATGGTGCAGGTGGTGCCAACTTTTACCCTTTGGTAGACTTCATTGATCAGATGGACCAGGCCATGTGATATCCACTGGTTTCAGATTATGCCTGTACATAGGTAGTCTTTCTATGCTGACAGCGTTTTATAGAAAGAACAGATATGAAGGGAAAAGCAAAAGACTGTGTATGGACTGGAAAAAGTAGATGTAAAAATGTAGGGCTAGATCATCCCATGAGCACTGCATGGTGGCTCAGGGACCAGGCTTGAATCCCTCAGGGAGAGCAAATGGCAAAAGCATACAGGTATGTATTTGCTGGTCCCGTTCCTTCCAGGGCCCAACAGGCAGCAGTTAAGAGATGGAGATAAGAAAGGGTGGCATGTAAATTCTTGGCATTAATTGTGGGGGAGAACTATTTTCTCATATTTTGTAGCACATCCATCCGTTTGCCAGAGACTTAAATGTTGAATGTGAGTCTAAAGGTAGTTCTTTTACTGGGGTCAATGCAGTCAGCAGGTCGTCATCTGAAGTGTGTGATAAACACTACTCACTGTAGCTGAGGTTATATTATTACCAATCCCTAAGCACTGATCAGTTGTTAAACAATGACTGAGCTCATTAAAGAAATGTAGAAATGAGTAATCTTTGTGTAACCAGAAGGAAAAGAGACCTCTGTAGTGCAGTCTGATGAGTGGCCCAAGAGTGCCTGTGCCCCTGTGCCCTCCTGGGCACCAGCTGCAGGCAGCAATCAGCCACACTCACAGGACAATTCTCAGCTCAGTCTCTAGTGCACTGAACATTTTCTCTCCCAATCCCAACACATTTCATCTAACTTTGGTGGGAATGATGAGAGATATAATCAAGAAAAAATAATCCCAGCAGTGATTACTGGAAAGAGATGAACTGCCTTGAGGATTTTGACCATGACATTTAAATTCCAATCTGCAATTCATGTCATTCTGTTTTCTTATATTCTATTTATAAGCTCTATGTTGTTATCACAGACTTTTTGGCATGAGGTTTAGAAATTATTTAAGTCCTTTACCTAGAATGCAATTGCATTTGGCTGCTTATCTTGTTCATTTATGTTCAACTTTTATTGATTCCAAAGGTTCATATTACATAAGGTCTTTGACTGGACCTGCATATATCTTCACAGGTTCAGAAAGAGCTAAGTTATTGCTCATAGAGTCAAGAAAAAAAAAAAAAAGAGAGCAAACCAAGCACCTGTTAAAGGACAATCTGTGAGTTTCTCCTTCTACACAGCATTTCACACTGTGACAGAGCCTGTGTGTGTGAGAGAGAAGAAGAATGGAGAAGTCCAGGAAAACATTTGTTGGTTTCATAGATAAGGCACTAGCAACTGCCAGCACAATGCGTCGTGATGAACTGCTTTTTTCTTACAAAGGAATTCTCTACCCTAGAACATTTTACAGTCCTGAAACATTTAAAGCCTTGGAATCCTTTGAAGCCAGAAATGATGATGTAATTTTGGCAGCATACCCTAAATCCGGTAAATATATTTTAATTTTTTTTATAAACAAGGTCCTGTAATAGCAAGTAACAAGGTTTGTACTAAATATATGCAATATTAATGTTACGGTACATATATATTATGGTAAATAAGTGTCTTTAGAATGTTCAGCAAATTTTGTAAATCTGATTTCATTCTCAAAAGGCACAAGGAATGAATTATGAATATTGACATGGGAAATTTTCCAAGACTGAGAAAACAATCTAATTTTCTTTTCTATTGCTTATAAAGGTTTTTGCTATCTTTACTTTTCATAGTTATGAAGTTAAATGCACAAATTGGAGAGAATAAAAATACAGTTTTTTACACCAGAGGTAACTAAATCTCTTGATATTCCACGATCTGCTCCCAGGTTTATGTTTGTAAAATTAAGAGCTTTATGTTTTTACAGGGGAGCCTCTGGTGCCTTCAAATGGAGAATATTCTTTAGTTTATTTCTCATAGATGTCAGGAAATAGCTATCAAAAATATTTTTTGTTGTCCTTGAAGTGATTACACTGTTCTTTAATTATTGGGAAATCAAGAGGACATCTTTGCTACAGTTGCAAGTTTACCCTACATATTTACACCTTTTGCCTCAAAGTACTGGTCGACATGCAGGCCAAAGGTTTGGATTAGATGTGCCTCATATACTCTTTAATCTTGCTGCTTCTTTCTTCCAGCAATTGGTTCACAATGCCTTACTGCAGATAGTCACAGCTGACAGGACTGTGAAGTTTTTGCTTTTTTATTGTATTCTCTTTTTGAAGAAATGTTATGCACTGGAATGCACTTGTTAAGATTGCAGTGAGAAAGATGTAGGCACCCAGTGTCCAGAAGTCAGAAAAGGGTCAATTAGAGATGGGAGATTTATGCAGACTCTTTGTTACATTTTGAAGAAAAAGATAACAAGTGTGTCTAGGAAATGTCACTTCAGAGAGGTTTCTCCTAATGTTAAAGAAAATGAGCGCACTATTTTCAGATCTAGTTCTGCTCCTGTCTTGAAGTACTGTGACCCATCTTTCTTCCGAAGATAGTCCAGCACAGCAGAAAACATTTAATACTTTAGGTTTCAAAGTACAAGTTTACCACCCCTGTAACTCACCTGGTAGTACTACCAATTTTGACTTCCCAGGTAAATCCATTTCTGTCCATTCTAAAAGTTTTACAAGCACTTCTTTATTCTTTCAGGCACAAACTGGCTAAGTCAAATCTTAACTGACCTCATAGCCATATGTCAAAAGAAAACGCCAGGTAGTGAAAGCAGTGTGAATGCTGAAGAACCAGAAGAATTCCCCTACCTCGAAGCTGGAGATGCTGAGAAATTTGAGGTGGGAACAGAATATGTATGGAAATGATCAACATTACTTGCTTCACATACTGAATATATGAAGTATGAACGATTCCATTGTTTGATGCTTTCACAGATAGCTAGTGTGTACCCTACCTCTAGATTTGATCCCTTATATAACAGAACTGAAGAGAATTAGCACTGAAGAGAACTAACAATGGATAGACTTTTTCCAATTGCTCATGGGCTTTTGAAGATTAGAGCTACTCAGTGCCCACTAATATCCCAGGGCAACACTCACTAAAAAACCCAAAAACCACTTCAATCAACCAATAACTGTTGATAAGTTCATCAGGGCCACATTTTAGCGTAGGTTACTGAAAAGAATACTTGTACTAACTGAACTGTCCACTTTCCTCCTTCCAATTCTTCAAGCGAATGACCAAATTACCTTCTCCAAGATTTATGGTTACTAATCTCCACCCTGAAAATCTTCCACAATCTATCTTCAAAAATAACATAAAGGTGAGTGCTGATTTTAATGTTTTAAGGAAATCACTTCTGCAGATTTTTTTTTTAAAGAGCCAATGTAGTACTTTTCTGCCAATTTTAAGAATCACTGTTATACTTAAGTGTTTAGCCTGGCCATTTCCACATAACTGTTTTAAATAGTGCCATTCGCCTCACTTAACCACAGTTTGCCTTTATGAGCAACTTTGTGACAGTTTCCACAAGAGAGTTGCAGGGCTTGAACAAATCCTTCTGAGTGAAAATGGATTTTGACATGATTTCCTATGGGAGGAATTTGCATTGCATTGCATTTATTTATTGTATTGTTGCACGTGAGGGCTTCAACGTGTCAAATTTCAAGGAGAATTTATATTATGGTGAATTTTCTTCGCTACTTAAAAGATGAACTGTGCTTGTATTGAGCAAAACATACTTAGATTCTGCATAAATAATTTGGTTAATCTGTAAAAGATAATAATTATAGGCAACCATCTTCTCATGGTACCAAAGCAAAGGTAAATACTGCACCTTCCTAATTGGGGATAAAATTGCTACTTCTGCAAGGAGCACACAAGGTATGAGAAACCCTCAACTGCAGTTATAATTATATTATTAATAATATTTATTATTAATAATTATTAATTTATTATTAACAATACATATTATTAATATTTATTTTTTAATGCTGTAGTATGCTATGTCTTTCTTCATAAATAGTTCACTTAATTATTTTTCTAGATATTGTTACTGATTCGTAATCCAAAAGATGTAGCTACATCTTATTACCATTTTTCCAATGGCGTGACTACTGTTCCCTCCTATGAGACCTGGGATGATTTCTTCACAGATTTCATGGCAAAGAAAAGTACAGTATATTTTTCTCTCTGTGTCAATTGTCCAATGATTTGTCTTTGTCTAAAAACCCTTGTACTTTGGTAAATCAGCTTCTCTAGGAATTTTTGCTCTACAGTACAAAAGCAGAGATTAAAGACAGAGAATTAGACATCTGAACTGAAGTTTACCATGCTTGTCTTACTGTTTGAGAATAAGTATTTGTCAAAACTGCACTTGTACAGGTTTTTTAAATTTGCACAAACTGGTATTTTTCCTGGAAGAAGCAGTTCTTCCTTATCTCTGTCTTGGGTCCCCTTTACCTCTCTCTAATGTCCATCATAGTGCTCTCCTATGTCCATCATCTTGTGTCCATGGAGCTATATGGCACCTCCGTGCCACATTGGATGAAAGGAGTTATTTGGACTAAGTCTAGTGCATTAAAAAGGGGACAAAAACTAATGCATTAAAACAGGGAGAAAGTAATAGCACTAGTTTAAGGCTATGAGTTTGACATAGCATATTGCTAACAGAAGGGGGGTTTCAATAAGGTTTTAGACTGAATTAAGGGAGTCTTACAAGATGGTCTGAAAGATGATAGCTTTTTTGGTGAACTCGGAGCTATCTTGAAATACTACCAAGTTTTATTTTTCTGACTTACCAGTGGTATCATATGCTTGAGCCTGGAGTAAAAACTGCAATTCCCACAGAAGGGTGTAAACCCTGCCATAGACATCAGTAATAAAGCCCTTGTCTGAGGCAACTTAATGAGTAAAACGTGTATAACCTTAATTTATGCTTCATCTTAGTATTGTTTTGTTTTATTTAGCGGCCTGGGGATGCTACCTTGAATACCTTTCTGAATGGAACAAATATTCTGACAAAGAAAATATCATGACAATAACTTATGAAGAGATAAAAGAGGTAAGGTTAAGAATAGTTACAAATACTTTATACTTCAAGGGAAATTTTCTTACTGAACCTATTCAAAATTATATACATGCATGGTATCCAAAGTGTGTGAGACAAATTCTTGTTTTTAGGAAAGAAAAGCTGAAATTCAAACTTTAAAATCTTCTTAAAATTTTGATTGTGAAAATGATTCTTGTTTTATATTTATTAGTGATATAAGCCCAAATCAGTGTATGTCAAGATCTCCAGTAATATTTTTTGGGGAGATGCTATTATGTTTTCAGCAGTGTAGATTTTGCTCACCTGTAAATCATATATAATATTTTGTAATCTACAGGAAAGCAGCTTGTATCTCCTCCAAAGTAATTATGGAGAAGAGAAACACTATGGCCCACCCTGGTCCTAGAGAACTCTATGAATATCCTATGTATGCAGACAGCAGAGAGATACACGGAAGTGTAAACACCTTGGAAAGCAGCGTCATTTGTTTGAAAGTCATGTCATAAGTTACATTCCTCTTTCCAGAATCCTGCCCTGAGTGTGAAAAACATAGCTACATTCTTTGGAATTGCTCTGACTGAGGAAGAGCTCCAGCTGGTGGTAGAGAGGAGCAGCTTCCAGTCTATGAAGAAAAACTCAGACAAGACCCATGGGTCATTTGGCAAGGTTCTCTTTCGCAAAGGTAGGAAGCTCCACGGGGCTCAGAGGTAGAAATGTCCCACTCTCAAGAACTTGGGGCATCCTTTGGTCCTTTTTCCAGCACTCACAGCAGCATTGCAAAGCAGGTTATCGCTGCTTTGCTTGAGAAGACTATTCAAGGAGCAATGGTGAGGAAGATGCCCAGCAAGGCTCTCACAGCAGAGACACTCTTGCAGGCTCTCAGATGGCTGGCAGGAAGGAGGAACTGTCATGTGACTGAATTCCTCTCCACCTCTGTGACTGGATTCCCAATTGCCCAGCCTTTGGAGCAGGCAGCACAGGGCCAAACGCAGCCTGAGTGGTGTGACCACCCTTTATATGAGAGTATAGAAATCTTCTGAGATGGCCACTGCCAAATGCCTGCTCACTCTTACACATTAGAACTAAGCCAAGCAAGCAAGAATCCTGGAAGACACAAGAGAGGGAACAGAAGGCAACAACTTTTGCAGTGTAGTTTGGGGGACATGGACATGAGAAGGGCAGCCTGGTTTTCAGAATCTAGTTTCTGCATTCTACATTAAAGAAGTAACTGGATAAAAACTAAAGCTTTTAAAGGAGCAGAAACCTAGCTCACCCTCCTGGCAGATGATTCATAATAAATTCTTCATGATCTTCCACTTTGCCAGTCATAACTGCATGGCAGTGAGAGATGCAGGGAAACAGGATTTTAGGCTGCCTTTTTGAACACAGTCACCTAAAGAGGAGTATGTTATTTTGCATTTTAGCAAAAGATTATTCACACATATATGTAACTCCACTGATTTCACAAAATTCTATTGCTGTAGAAAAATGTTTCATCTGGAGAATGGATCAACAAGATTTAGTGTACAATGCAATAAAAACAACAGCTCTATAGAATAAAAAATGAAATTTCTTGGTTTTTAAGAGTTTGTTCCTGCTTTTTTGAAGGTGGTGTAAGTGACTGGAAGAATCTTTTCAGTGAAGATCAGAATGAGAAAATGGACAAAGCATTTGAAGAACATATAGCAGGAACGACACTCGGGAAAAAGTTGAAATATGACTTATACTGCAAAGTCTGAAGAGAAATGAAACGTGGTTAGGACAAGAATTTTGCCAGGCAGACTAAGATCATCTGAATGCTATACACTGGAAAACTAGATCAAATGATCCAAGCACCTTACATCTTACTGTAAGAGTCATTGCAGCAGCCTTTACAGTTACCCTGATGAGTAGTGGCCTTTTGTTTACTGGTGAGAACTTTGGCTACACTCATTTGCTGAAGATGTCAACTAATCATATGTAGAAAAACTCAACAACCTTGTTCCAGCTCTTCTAGATTATTTTTAATTTTTTAGTATGCAGATTATTTTTTCTTCAAAAATATTTGAAATCTGGCAACATCTTTACAGAAAATATCACTAGCAAAAATAGGGATATGACAGAAGCCTAATGTCAAAGGAGATCTTTCATCAATTCAGTACAAACTAGATCAGAGCTAGAGAAAGGAGAAAGAAGGAGAATATGGATCAGTGTTCTTAAGGCCCTTCATCTCTCTGAATGCAAAATATCAAAATGGATTTCAGATTTGTCATGGTTTGAGTCTGGCACAATGCCAGTGCCCCCATGGAAATATACTTTCCCTAGTGGCTTCTGTGAGATGTGATCAGGAACAGAGCAAAGCAGGCTCCAACTTAGGAGTAAAGGAAACAAACTTTATTGATTACAATATCTAAAAAGGAACAGACACAGAACTAAGAATGAAAACCCTCCAAATACATTCCTCCTCCTCCTCCTCCCCCCATTTCCTCCACAGCATGAAATAACATCTTAGATTTCCACTCCGTCACCATCTCTCAGATAATCAGTTTTCAGTCTATCACCACCCCTCAAATAATCAACCCTCAAGTCCATCAGGGAGAGAGGAGTTTTCCCTTGCACCATAGGCTTCCCCCAGAAACACAATTGAAACCTCTTGTGTTTCCATGCCACTTGTGGCACCGCCCGGAGAACATCTACCCTCGTGACTACTTCCTTCCATGTCCAGTGCTCTCACCACTGCACATGGACCAGGACTGCTTTTAGCGTTCCCCTTTTAAGGATGCCCCGCCCAGTTCCAAAAGCAGCAGTCTCTCAGCTTTGGGACACCAGTCCCCCCCAAATTTACCCCCTGGGGCCGAGGGGCCTCGTGAACAGAGATCTTCATCTCCACTGAAGACACAGGGCATCCCACACCCTCCTCAGCTGTCTCTGTTCACGCCACTGCTTCACCATGCTCTCTTTGGCCTCAAGGCATTGCGTCTCCCTAAATGCAGTCTCTGGGTCACAGGAAAAACATGGGTCTGTCCATGGCCATACAAGAAAAGAGTCCAGCCCAAGGCCACTCCATCTCCTAACCTAGGATTCTTCTCACATCTTCTGACATTCCTGACATGCACCAACTTCCGTCACACTTGCTCATTTCCTCCTGCTTCATCTCTCTCTCCTCTTTCAGATTCAGGAGGATCAGTATTTGTAAGGTTTACATTATTCTAGAAAGGGGTTAAAATCTTCATCTCTGTCTGTCCAGAACTCCCACGGCTGCCGGGCACCTTCTCGCGCCGCATCCTGCACTTCTTCTGGCTGGCTATGCTGCCAGCATGATATCACATTCCAAGGCAGCACTATCATTCCAAGCTCTCTCTATCTCTCTCCCGGGGGGCGGGGGGGATGCTTCTCAGAGCTCTTCCACCCTTCCATCTTGCAAGGCCTTCACTCCCCTCCTCTGCCCAAGGCTCCGGCCTACCTCACCCAGCTGCATGGCTTCCCCTCCCACACCCAGCCCCAGCTGGGCAAGGGAGGTCTGACCTCCTTCACTGATCGGAACCAAGAGAGAGTTCTCCTGGGAGTTCTCTGATTTTAACCCCCTGTGTTCTCAGAGGCGGCCCATACCTTCAGTGGCCACACCAGGTGCCAATACTCAAATCCAAGCACTGATTGGTTTGACTGCAACCTCCCAAAAAACTCCCTTCTTAACCTACAAGATTTTGGGCTGAAGTTAACAGGCAAGAGGCACTGCTTTCTATAGGATCACAGAGCAGCCCAGGTTGGAAGAGACTTCGAAAAATCATCTAGTACAACCTTTCATGGGAAAGGGAGCCTGGATGAGATTCGATCTAGATAGCATGTATTGAAAACCTCCAGTCATGAGGATTCTACCACATTCCTGGAGGCATTGTTCCTGCAAATGGTTGTTCTTGCTGTAAAGAACTTACTTCATATATCAAGATCAAACCTCCCCTTTTGCAACTTGAATCCACTGCCTCTTTCCTTCTCCATGTGGTGTCTGGTGAATAGGGAGCTTTTATCCTCTTTGTAGCTGCCCTTTAAGCACTGTCCCTGAGCCTTCTCAGCTTTGTGGTCCTCCCTTGGAACCCCTCTGCTTTGTTTGTGTCTTTCTTGAAAATTACTTTATTGAGATAGAGGGGTTGTCAAGAGTGATGGTGTGAGACATTGCTCTACCCAGCTTTCTTGTACTACCATTGGCATTTGCCTCTCTAGACACAGTCTTTCAGATTTATCCAGTGATCTGTTCTGGAAAAAAAAAGGTAAAATAAGGTTCTGTATATATAGTTGAATTAAAACCAGGAAAAGCCCCACCCAATTTATAGATCCATCACCTGAGCAAATAAGACGCAAAAATAAAAGATAGAATTGAAAAGTGAGGGGGGTTGGAAATTTAACTTGGGGTAGAACCCAATTTTGGTTTTAGCTGAAGTCTGCTTGTTTAGTCTGTTAAAGTCTGTGCTTACAAAAAGGATGGCAGAGACTAGGAAGGAGATTCAAGGCTACTTAGAAAGGAATGCAAGCATTCAAGCTGAAGAGAGATAAGAGGCCCCACAGACCAAAACCTGAATCTGGGTTACTTGACTGAATAACTGCGCAGGCTCATAAAAAAATGATAAGACAGTTTAATACATATACATATATATTTTAGGCATATGCAACAGGTTAGGGGATTGTGGAAGCCCAGGGCACTGGGAATATTTCTCTGTCTGCTCTGGGGTGGCTTGACTCCCAGGGGAGCTCTGACTTTAACCCTCATTCATGGAGAAAGTTTCCTAGACTTCATGGTAGACTATAATCCACAAAACTGTGAAATAGATTATAGAGTGTAGTGTAGGTGCATCACTTGGTGAGAAGTTTAGGTTTTGGTATTTTTAGTATGTTGTGGATGGGAGCAAGATGGAGGGCACAGGGTGTTGTCCTGGGTTTCTTCATACTTCTTTCTTCCTCATGGGTTTGGGTGGCATTTTGTAATTGGGCAGAAAAGTCTGCATTGCAGGCTGTTTGGGATCAGTTATTGAGTTAAAAGGGAAAATAATCTAGGTGTCAGTTCTTAATTGGATAGTTTAGTCTTAAAAGACCTTGTAACAAGAGATTGTTAACCATTTTGTGCCTTCTAATGAAAAGCTGCTGAACTCACAGTTGTGAGACTGTTTTACTGATAAGAAATAATAAACACCTGAGTCTGAACATGAACTACCGTCTCAAGTACCTTCAATCCAGACCCAGAGAAACCAATAGGGGATAAAGTAGACTCAGGAATTTTCAGGGGTGCACATGTCCTTGGGGAGCATATGTCCATTTTATGAAATAAATCATATTGGTTTTACAACTTGTACAAGTTTTGTAGTTTTATTCTGCAAATCGAAAGAATGAAATATTCAAAGATTTTTTGTTTCGCTCTTCTAAAGCTGGTTGGTTCTGCCTGGACATAAGTGGACATGCAGAATGTTGTAAAGAAATTGGAATGCTAGAAGTAATACTTAGAATATTTAGAAAAGAAATGAATGGATTCAAAAGCAGAGCAGCAGAAAGTCTGTGGCAAGGCATCTTTGAACAGCTATAAATTATCTATAAGCAACCAGAAAGGTTCCAGTTTCCTGGAGAACATGCATAATAGCAGTGTTTAAAAACTTGTGAAGGATTAATCAAAATAGAATAGTCATCTTAACTCGATACATAGAAATATAGTAGCAAAAATAACAAAGCAACTGACCATGGAACATTTTGAAGAAAATGAAATAGTAAATATAAATATTTTTAAATAAGTTGGTGATCCTCCTTAATGTTACTTACCCCTTGAATGAGCCACTGACAGAAAATACAAGAGGTGAGGATTGGGGAGGGCCTGAAATTATGTGACTAAAGAGACAGAAATATATGAGGAGATGGCAATGTATAAACATTGGTTATAGAAATGAAAGTACTGAAAGTAGACTATAGAAATTAATACAAAAGCAATAAAGGGCATTTAGAAGCAGCAATAGTCGGCAGCATCAGTAGTTTCAGGAATATCCACTTCTTTCCATGGATATTATGAACTTGTGTTGTCGTGCACTAGTTTATTTAGTTGTTCTTTTACACTGGGTGATTAGGAATTTCCACAGAATAGTTTTATATTGCACTATATAGCTTATATCACATGGTTTGTTATCCCTTTTCCCCCAGCACATGGTCTTTCCCTCACCCACCCCAAGGCCCCCTGGTGGTCTCTTCCTGCGTGAAGAGGTCCTCCTCTCGCCACTCCTCACTGGTATCCCATTGGCTGTAGACCTCTTCCTCTGTCCCCGTTCCCAGGGGTATAAAAGTTCCCTGCCACCAGGGAATGCCCTCTTTCTCCCGTGGATTTGTCCACCTGGTGTGTCTCTTGAACTAAAGGAGAATGTTTCCCACGTGGAGAAGAGCGCTTCTCAGTCTTTTACCTTCATCTATGAAATATTGTGTGGGCAGGGGTCTATAGCTAGCCGGAGTGGACCCCAACAGCCCGGCAGAAAACACGATATTTCAAACTTGGTTGCAATAGTATGCTTATGGTCACACTGCATATACTGGTTGACAGCAAAATTGGGAGGGCAATTAAAGCAATCTCTTTTAGTGGTGAGTCCTGATCATATTCAGTTTTGTTTTAACACTGCTGGGCAGACTAATATCATGCATCATAAATGACTGGCTTTTAAGCATGGGGATCAGAAGAGAGGGCTGAAAGTAACAGGAAAAATGGCAAAACAGTTTGAAACATAACATATTGAGAAGATTAGGGAACACAAAATGTAGTAAAGGTAAACGTAGAACTCTGTATTTAGAAAAGGGAAGCCAAAGGAACAGGTACTTGATGGGGGTAAATCTGTCAGGCAGCAGCTGGCATAAAAACACCTGAGGAATCACACTTAGCAAGGACTAACACCATGACAGTGCTAGAACAAAAAGGCTCAGATCTTATTCTGGTCTTGCTGATCTGGTTGGGAAGCAGAGCATGACCTGATTCTGCAGTTTTATCCTCTCCTGTGTCATCCCAAGGCTTGAATTCAGTCCCTTTGTGCCCTTAACAATCTCACTCCGAAGGACAGAGCTATTCAGAGCAGTAATACCTCATGTGCTTTTGCTCCATTTGAGATACCAGGTGGGTCTTTGCATTCAATGGGGTAAGGAGGTGGAAGAAGGAAGGATGGAAAAGGCAAGCTGCTATATCAAAAACGAATGTAGGCAAGGAAACGATGGATGAGTGACCTTTTGAGGGAGTAAAAAGTGAGCAGAGATGCAGCTAGTGAGTATGAGAATCAATTTAGAAAAACTTGGGAATCTGTTTTGAAGGTAACACGTAATTGACACAATAGCAGTGGCTGTCAAAATTTATTACTTCTAGGTTTTACCAATTATAAAAAAAAAAAAAAAAAAGAAAAAGTATCTTTCTTTTTGGTCTAGTCTCTTTTGTTTCCTGTGATGCCTGAAAAGAGAAATTTCCACTGAAAATTATGTTTATACTGCATTTTTGTCTGTTTCTTCTAAAGGGAATGAATAAACCAGAAAAATTATATTAACCCATCTTCCACCTCATGTCCTTTCCCTAGTTCATTTCCAAATCAATAATTATTTCAGGAAATATCCTTTACAGGTGTTTCTTTTGTTTAATTTAACATTTTTATTCCTACTAGTTGTTGCCCCAATAGTTCCTCTTCCTAGTATTAGTTGTAGCAAAGGCCATAGGTCACTCTTGTCAGTCTTCATGGAGTTCTGTAATGTCAAAAGATTTTAACAGAGTACAGAGTTAATCAGTGACTTGCACCTTCACCCCTGAGTGAACACCCTGTTCTATTTACTCATGTTACATAAAGCTTTTCTGCATTGTGGAAAGACAACCTGTGTCTCTTTGGGTAGATTTACACAGGGATACAGACATGACCAGAAACAGTGAAAGAATCATTGAACTAGTGGACAAATGTTTTTCAGAGGGTGACAGGATGGTCCCAGAAGACATGCCGTTTTCCTACAGAGGTATTTTATACCCCGTTACAATTAGCAGCCCGCAGACTTTGGAAGCTCTGAAATCCTTTGAAGCCAGGAGTGATGATGTGATTCTAGCAGGTTATCCTAAATAAGGTGTTTTCTTGATCAGTAGTCAAGTACACAGTGCTACAGTCCTGAAGTTGATTATTTAATGCCATCGCTTAACACAAGAATTCTTAACAGCAAGAATTCATTAGAAAATCATATGATGGCATCAGACTTCAAAGAATCATGAATTTAAGTTGTAAGGCATATCTGGAGCTCAAATAATGCAACCCCCTGCTCAAAGCAGGGGAAAGACCTAGCATCCCAAGTTAGGTTTGGTTGCTCAAGGCCTTGTCCACAAGGGTTTTGAAACTTCTGAGGATGGAGGTTCACCATCCATTGAAATCTTTTGCAGTGTTTTCCCACAATAGTGGTTTTTTTGGGGGTTGGGTTTTTATTGGTTGGTTTTCACACCAATGCTGTTGGACATACCCTTGTTGTGAGAGTCTCCATTTTCATTAATACGTGCAGTAGTGGAAGACTGCAGTGAGTGTGTCCCATGCCTTTTTTATTCTATCTCCAGCCTGAGCAAACCAAGCCTTTCTATGTAGTTCATTTGCTCCAGCTCCCAGCAGTTTAATGGAAATTCAACAAGACTTTCCCCACATTCTCAAAATCATTTGTGCTTCAGTCTAGGAACTGCACACAGTATTCAAATGGTGAACACACTAGTGCCAACTAAAGCAGGATAATCATATCCTTTCCTTTGTATCTAAATGGAGGGAAAGACATGAATGCCACGAGGAGTTTTACACATTTTCTCTCTCTTTTACTCTGGACCTTTCAGAATCCTTAATTTTTTTCCCTATTGGCTTTACAGAAATATCTTAATATGTAATTTGCAGAAAAAGAGGATCCTTATCACATCATCTTTGTGTGCAGCCTCTAGAGCTGTACAGAAGCAGAACTAGTTTATATGTATGAGGATCCACCTAAACACTGCAGGAGGTGTTAGTTGAAAACTGAGATTTTGTTCTCTGAACCCAGATCCTCCTGCACCGTTTCTCCCAGGCTGCAGAAGCCAAGACAACCAAGTCTGGTGCAAAGATGGTGTCAGGAGCGTGATGGTCTGGTGGCTTGGCTGATGACCCTTGTGCTGCCAGTTACAGAAGCCTAGCTGGGAATTGTGAATGGGACCAAACTGTGTCAGTAGTGAGGAGACCATAAATTGAAGCTGGTTGGGAAGAGGGAACAGAGTGTTCCCAAAGACAGCGCTGTGGAAGGAAAGCAGAAACAGAAAAGGTATGACACAGTTGGCCCAGTGCTAGGAGCCACACAGCTCTTGAGTAATTTCCACAGGCAGTAGTGTGAGGTAACCAAAAAGTAGAGAAGTTGAAAAAAGCAATAGAGGTCTGCTTCTGCTTCTACCAAGGGATGTGATGTGACCCTGAAGCAAGCAGGGTAGCACTCCACAATAGCTGCTTAACAGCTCTGCCCCTGTTGACCATAGGCACACCCTTGCTGATTATTAACCAAGGCCGTGATTTACCCTCAGCTGGCAACTCACAGCTCAACTCAGTGGCCCCACAGGGCCACTCACTCTTTCACCTGCAAGGCTATGAGGGAGAGAAACAGAGTGAGAGGAGTCATGGGTTGAAATAAAGACAGTTAAATATGTAAAGCAAGAGCTATGTGTGCAAGCAAAGCAAAGTAAGGAATTCATTCTACCCTTCCGGCAGTCAAATGTTCAGCTGTCTCAGGGCTCCCTCACCCATGATGGTGACATGGTAAGACAAGTGCCTTAGCTCTCAGCATCTCTCTTTCCTCCTTCTTCCCTCAAATTTTATTGCTGAGCATGACTCCATATGGAATAGAATACTCCTTGGGTCAGTTGGGATCAGCTGTCCCATCTGTGTCCCCTTTTAATTTCTTGTGCACCTGCAGCCTACTCTCTGGCAGCTCAGTGTGAGAATCAGAGGAGGCCCTGACACTGTGTAATTACTGCCTAGCACTAACTAATGTGTTACCAACATTGTTTTCAGCACAAATTCGACACAGAGCTCCATACCAGCTACTATGGGGAAAATTAATTCCGTTGCAGTGAATACCAGTGCACACACTTGTTGAAAGGTTAAAGTACAACACTGAACCAAACTGGTTCACTTGAAACCAGTTTGACAGCATACCATCGGTCAGGTTTACATGAAAAAGTGAAGTGGAATGGATATCCTACTGGTGTCTTTATCCTTTCAGGAACCAATTGGCTTGAACAAATGGTGAAGGAGTTGGCAGATGCCAAATATACAGAAGAGGAAAGGAAAGAGAGAATAAATGCTGAAAAGAAGCTAGAGACATTTCAGCGTCTAGAATTTGGGGATCCTGGGACAGATGAGATAAGCAGGAACTGAAAATACTGTCCCCACTCTTCTTACAGGTAGTAATAGCTGAAAGACAAGGCTGATCTCCGAGGTAATGGAGAACCTAGAGCCTTAACAACAGCTACGGTCTGCAGAAGTAACATGCTAGTGCCTCTGGTGTCCCAACACAAGGGCCTCAGATGCGAGACAGGGCTGACAAGGCAGAGGGTCCTCCTGTCATTGACCTAAAAAGTTTGATTAGTAATACCTTTTTTGAGCGTGTCCTGTTTTTAGGCCTGTGTCATGTGAAACGGTGCTTGGTGGGAGAGGCTGGCAGAAGCCTACACCACCGGTGCATCCCTGTGGGTTTTCAAAGGGATAAGATACATCTCTGGTCTCACCTTTTCTTATAGCCTGCAATAACTGAACAGGCACAACTCACTGAATAAGCTACTTCTGTCTTGTCACATTTTTTCTCACTTTTTTTAAAGAGGATGAAGCAGCTTCCTTCCAGAAGAAGGAAGTAACCCATCTGATCTCCTGCCTCCATCCATTCTCCAAAGCAAGGCTAAGGTGAGTCTTCTCTTTGCAGCACACTGCAAAGTCTTTCCATCCTAAATTAGCTTTCCTCTGTGTGAGATGTCTTTTCTGCATTTTCACCTGAGCTGGCCAATACACAGCCACATTTACAAGGTTGAAGAGACAGCTCTGTGTGCCAAGACTGTGAACAAAGATCCTCTTCCAGCTGCAGCTGTCACTCTTGCGCCGAGAATGACACAGGAACAGGCAACAGGCAGTATTGTAGAAAGAGCAAAGAAGGCTTTTTCAAGAGAACCACGTGGTTTATCTAGAGTGGTATCATACATTCTGTTTGATTGGCTAGTTAATAAAAACACCTTCCTCATACACTGTCCTTGAAAAGAACAGAAAGACGAAGTAGAAAAACACCACCTGCAGATTGTTTATACTAACAAGTTATCACATCCTTACAACTCCCTGAAAGTTCTCAAAAGCTGCTGTGAGAAATGCTTGCTGTTTCTCTCTGTCTGTCCCATGGCATCCACATGCAGCTTTGCTGGCTGTTGGTGGGCTTGTTGCTGAGTGTCACTGTCCTTTCAGATCTCCTTCAGAAAGATGCCTCCAGGTTGGTGGTAGAAACCTAAGCAAGGCAAGGAGTAATTCTGTCTGGTTTAACTTGCCTTCAAAACCAGGGTACCTGTGGAAAGCCCACCACAGGCTGTGTGGCCAAGATAATCTTAGATGGGAATTACTGCAGAGAGAAACTAGGGTACATCTAGGGACTGTTTGTGGCTCTTTTGTTCAGTAGATAATGAACTAATTTGTCTGGATTGGAACTAGGTCAGAACTGTCTTGAGGGAATCACTGAAAAGCTTCTTGTTTTCAGCCTGAAGCTTAGATTAGCAACAAGTGATCTTCCAAAGCTCTGATTTCTTACTCAAGAAAAGGAATTAGACCAGAATTGGATGGTCTGGTGCATTTTAGTGGACAAGTAAGCTTGCAGACAGCACCAAGTTGAGCGGGAGTGTTGATTTGCTGGAGGATAGGAGGCTCTGCAGAGGGATTTGAACAGATAATGGGCTGAGGCCAATTGTATGAAGTTAAATAAGATATGTATTGGGTCCTACAAAATGGGGGTCACAACAATTCTATGCAACAGTAAAGACTGGGGGCAGAGTGGCTAGAAAGCTGCCCAGTGGAAAAGGACCTGCGGGTGCTGGTTGACAGTGGCTGAACATGAGCCTGAACTGTGCCTGAGTGGACAAGAAAGCCAGTGGCATCCTGGCGTGGATCAATAACAGTGTGGTCAGCAGGACCAGGGTAGTGATTGTCCCCATGTACCTGGCACTGGTAAGTGACACACCTTGAGCACTGTGTCTAGTTTTGGGCCTCTCACTACAAGGAGGACACTGAGGTCCTGGAGTGTGTCCAGAGAAAGGCACTGGAGCTGATGAAGGGTTTGGAGCATAAGTCTTAGGAGAAGTAGCTGAGGGAGCTGGGGTTGTTTAGCCTGGAGAAAAGGAGGCTCAGGGAGCACCTTGCCACCTGAAGGGAGGTTATACCTAGGTGGAGCTTGGTCTCTTCTCTGAGTAATGAGTGACAGGCCAAAAGGAAATGGCCTCAAGTTGCACTGAGGGAGGTTTGGATCTGGATATGAGAAAAAATTTCTTCATAGAAAGGGTTGCTGAGCATTACTGGCTGCCAGGGAAATGTTTGAGTCATTGCTCCTGAAGATATTTTTAAAAAAATGTAGATCTGGTACTTCCGGACATGGTTTAGCGATGGACTTGGTAGTGCTTGGTTAATGGTTAGACTTGATGACCTAAATGATTCTGTGATTCAATGACTCTATGTGACATGTCAAGAAGATGGCATTTTGATCAGTCAAAAGATGTGTTTTCTTCCTCTAGATCCTTGTGCTAGTTCAGAACCCCAAGGACACAGCTGTCTTCTATTACCACTTCTGCAACAACCTACCAGTGATGCCATCCTTTGCCCCCTGGGATGAGTACTTTGCAGACTTCATGAATGGAAAATGTACTTTGCCCTACATCCTCTGGCATTTCTCCTAACATGAGTGGCATACACAGGGCCTTGTGCATGGGAATCCTTCTGTGACATACCTTACCAAGGCACTTCCAGAACAGGCAGACAGGCCCCTGTTATGGCAGAAACAGAGTACCAGAGAATCAGTTTTGTCTCTCACTTAAAATGGACAGATCATGAGAAAGCTTTAGCCTAACTTTTCCATTCCCACAACAGAGCTTGTGGTTTGCTGTATCAAGTGGACAGACCTTGGCCATGCTGCACTGACCTCAGGAGAAAGAACAGACATGTTGAGCTGGTCACCCCTTCACCATTTGAAAGCCACACTTAGAAAGCTGTCTGGGCTGATTCCTCTGATTTGGTTAAGGGTTTGTATTGGGGAGTACTCTAGACAGTTATGCCTCGTCTTTGTTTGCAGTGGCCTGGGGATCCTACTTTGACCACCTAGTGGAATGGAACAAATACATTGACAATGAGAGGATCATGACAATAAGCTACGAGGAACTCAAAGAGGTGTGGCATTTCACCCAGCTTTTCCTTGATGAGTGTGCTGTGTATCCCTCCTGGTATGTATGGGTGTGGGAAAGTAGAAACTCTTGGGCCAAGTCTGTCTGCCCCTTTAGAAGGATGTGCCTTTCTGAATTACTCATTTATGTTTGGGGCAAGCCCATGGATGTCAGGAGGAGGATAGCCTTGCCTATTTGTGAAACAAGTTTTATCTGGTAGAGGCACAGATTTTGGGAAAGAAGAAAACGCCTTGAAACTGGGGCCAGAATGTGTAGGTTTCCTGGCCTGAAGGGTTTTCTGTTAGAGCTCTTGGAATTCCTTGGTGACATTGCGAGAGAGCTTCCCCTGCTGGGCTTCCCACAGGGTGCTGGCTCCATTCCACAGCCACAGTGTCAAATCTCTTGGTCCCACCTCTGTGCTACGTTCCTTTGGAGAGGACCCAATACTGGGGATGAAAAAGATTGCTTCCTTCTTTGGATTTTCCCTGTGTGAGGAAGATTTTTCCAGAATTGCCAGGAAGATCAGTTTCAAATCTATGAAAGATAAATCCAGTGAAACCCATGGAAAGTCTGGGGACATCCTCTTCCACAAAGGTAAGTCTCTGCAAATGGAGACCTACCTTTGGAAGGAGAACTCCAGAAGGAGTTTCAAGCATGTCACTTTACTTAGCCATGAACTCATTGGACTGTCTGGGTGAGTTCTCTACTGTGGTGCCACCTGTACAGAAAGCTTCTGCTGTGCACAGGATTTGGGGGTTGTTTGTGAGAAGCTCTATCAGAGTGCCAGTCTTAATGTCCTCAGTCACTGCTTTAGTGTTGCTGTCTTTTTCTGTAGCGGCCCTGGTTATTTAGGTAAGTGAGGTGCCAAGGTGAGGACCGGCACTGGCATCTTCCTGTTACGCACTCAGCAAGAGCTTTATATGTCTCCTCTCAATGGACATGTCAGTGGAGCTCCCCACGACCTCAAGAGTCTTTGGTTTCTTTGTATTGCAAACATGGGCTTTTTAAAATCCGTTTCTTTCACCACTCCTCTATACCACCTACCACAAAAAAGTTTCTTCCTTCAGAGGAAGTAATTCATGAATGAGCTTTCCCTTGTGAGAAAACCAGATTCCCCTTTTTCTGTGTAAAAGCTTCATGAAGTCACCTTGGAAATCCCCTTCTGGGGAGGGAGCACTTGCAGGTAGCTAAGCAGCAATGCTCCCTGTTGTCTGGCTGCAGCCTTTGCTTCTGATCTTTGATATCTTTCCTCTCCCAGGCAATCAGACCTCTCAGGAAAATTAATGTGATCTTTCCTGACTTGTGTAGTCAATGACTCTGCCCCACTGCTGCCTAGATATTATTTTCTCTCTAGAGCATCTCCCTTCGGGTTTTGGTACTCATACACAGGGGTTGTTGGAAACTGGAGAGACATCTTCTCTAAAGCTCAGCATGAAGAAATGGACTGGAAATTTCAAGATTCCTTAGGAGGAACAAAGATAGCAGCAAAGATAAAATATGATGTGTACTGCAAGGCCTGAAAATAAGCAGATGAATAGCATAACAGTAAGTCATGTTCCGAAGGTGATTCTCCAAAGGTGGATAGTCCCCATTTTTCCTTCCCACGAGAGAAGAGAGAAATCCCTCTGAGAACTACCTGGTACCTCCAAGAATTTGGTAGGTAATTCTTAGGTGTGTCTGGGGTCTAGACCTTGTGCTTTGGTTGACGTAACCAAATAAAATGTGTGTATGCCTCAAGTGAATGCCCAGCATCCTTTCAGAAGGGAGATGGTGAACAGACATCATGACACTAGTCTGGTGGCATCCCTGTCTCTGCTTCTTGGCCTGAAATGATGAATGAGGCCCCTGCAGGTCTTGTTGGTGAGAGAGAGGGATCAACACAGAGCCTCTCCTCTGGCACAGAGTGGACTTGACATGGATATATGGTGTGGGTCTGAACTACCAAATGTCTGTAGAATAGGTAGAATATGTTAGTCTGAGTTTAGATTCATCATAGCTGCCACGGTGTTGGCAGGTCAGAAAGGCCTTTGACACTTTGGCAAACTTCACACATTGGTATGGCAAAGGGTGGAACTTCTCAAGCTCAAAGAGCCATGAACTCTTAAGTAACGAACAGCTATGTGCTTTTTGGAGGGTTTTGCTCCTGTTGGACTCCCTGGGAAGTGGCAAGTAGGAAGAACCACAACATTCAAATGGGAGGACTGAAGGAAAGAAGCCCCTTGATGATCCTAAGCTAAACTAGCTAAACTATGAGTGTGGCATTTATTTGACAATAGATACACTTATGCTACATAGGTGTGTTTTCCACACCCTCCTTGCTGATGTCGATGTCTTTGCTACATCTATGCAGAATGTCACAACCTTGTCTCATCACCCTTGTCACAACTAGTCTTGTAGGATGCCACAAAAGCCAAGGAGGTGTCTGTCTGGCAAATGGAATTTGGTTCCTTGGAAGAGGGGTTCCTCTGCCATATTCCTAGGTAGATTTACCAGCAGGACTCTTACACTGAACTAAGATTAAATACTGATCAAACAGAAACCACAAATGTAATTAACAAAACTGGGTAATTCTTAAGTCACTGTCAAAGTGCCGACTGTCCCTGAACAGCTCCTCGGGACTACCCCTACCCTGCCCATGGTCCAGGGCTCCATACCAACCCCTGCTCCAGGCTGTCAGCCCCTTTTCCAGTGATGGTGCAGCAGGGTCAGGCTTCAGCTCCTCAGAGTCTGCCCTGCCTGTCCACTGGCCCTGCCAAGCTGGACCCATCCACAGACTCACATCCTGACCAATCCTCAGCCCATCACCTCCCCCAGGAGAGTGTCCGATGCCTGGGCTGGGGCTGCCCAAGTGCCCCTGGCTGTTGTGCACCTGGCTGGACAGTGGGATGTGCTCTGGCTGCCATGCCCTGTGCCCTTGTCTGTGTGACAGGGATAATGGGAAGTGATGCAGATTCAGCTCTGAAGGGCCACTCAAAGCATGCTTCCCAGGCAGATTTTCTAAATGTCTGTGCAAGAGCTGCACATGCAAAAAAGCTCTGTGTGGAGAGGTAGGTTTGTTTGAACCTGATGATTCTGAGTTTGTAGGTTTCCGTTTCCAGAAGAGTAGAACCTTTTCTTATTCTGGGCTTCCATGGATGAAAAGAGGCAAGCAACCATGACCCATAATTTTTGGAACTATCAACATTTTTACCTGTTACTTAGTACAGACCCTATAAAATTTACTATATGGTGATATAAAAAGCTATCAAGACAAGAGAAAACATGGTGTAATCTCAGTGTCTGCAAGGAGTTGAACAAAGAGTTAAAGAAGGGAACAAGCCTGATCAGAAATAGAAAAAAAGTCACTGAAATATTCAAAAGACATTTATTAAGATAAAGAGGTGACATCTTAAGGTCTGTTGGTTTGTTTTTTTCTTCTGCAAAGATTTTTTGCAGCTGAAGGGCCCTTAGCAGTCCAGAAACTTTAGAAACTCTGAAGTTCTTGTAAACCAGAAGTGATGAAGTTAGCTTTCCTAAAATGGGTGAGTCTTTCTTCCTTGATGAAGTGTCTGTTGCTGCAGTACAGAATTGTGTGTCTGCACATAACACAGCAACAAAGCCCCTGATGAATTCAGATTTCTGTGGAGGAGCAGGAGTGGGGGTTGTTCCCTGGAGGAAGACAGAGGGTGCTTCCATAGGCTTTCTTCATTGCAGGATGTAGGTAATTTCTTGGTGCTGGGTGGAGCTACAGGCTCACCTGCTATCCAGATTCTCGGACCCTTTTCCTCTACCTTCCCATGCCTTTCAGTCCCAGCATTTTGGTTTACTGGTTACCTCCACATTTTCTCCAAATCACTTAGAGAAACAGCAGGCCATTTGATGGGGGGGAAAAAAAAGAGTTCATATTTGATCTGCACTACATCTCCTTAAATGCTCTACTTGATTTTTTTTTTTTCTCAGACAGAAAAGGTATAAAATTGTCTTATATAAATATCATAGGTAATTTAGTGATAATTTGATGTCTGAGTTGTAGCATCTCAAATTTCCAACCAATCTTAAAAAACTGTGTTAGAAAATGCTTTATGTGACTTATTTTAAATATAATATGCTCTAGATTCACCTCACTTAATTAGATGATGTGGTGGTGAATTATGGGTAAGCTGAGAGGGATACAGCCAAACTTTCAGGTCTACAGAGGGAAAGGACTTTTGGCTTTTAAACAACAGTTTTCATGGAAATTATTGCAATATGACTTGGGACATGAGCTTAGACTCTCTTGATGATTAAAAGCCTTGGATTTGGTTATTAGTAGACAAGGTAATGGTTGCACAGAAACTCTTCTGAGAACTAGTGAAAGCCTTGGATGGAACCCAAATCATTTTAATCTGTGAAGACTCTTACTTTTAACTGATTCCTCCAATTTTTAAAAAAATTCTTTTCAGAAATTGATCAATTGTATTTTCCTTTTCACAAAGTTGTCATCCAGGTTGTTTTGGATTTACTTATAGAAATACAGTCATCAATCTTTGCTGATTTGTGAAATCTTATAGTTTCTCATCTGATGTTACCCTACTTAAAGGATTTCCTTCTTCTGACCTCTCAGTCTATGTAGTCTTATGAGTGTACAAGCTGGAAACCTTGTCTGTAATGAAAGTCCCTTCCTAAGGCATGCAGTTTTAAATCTTCTTCCTTTATTTTATTTCGTTTCATCTACAATTTATTGAACTATGTTTTTCTAGTAAAATGTTTACTTCGTATTTGTTTCCAGTCCTGTTAAAGATAATGAAAAATTTATCTTTAAGAAGATAAGTCATTCTCATATCTTGCCCTGCTTGTGCCTTTTCGAAGTAAGGCTAAATCTTTTTTATTTGATCTAAAACCGTGTAGCATTTTCATACAGATTAGTTTTTAATTTCCTGTGCAAAATGTCTTTTCTGAGACTGTATGTAGGCTTTAAAGGGGTGATTATACATTCTGAATGTGAAGTGATAAATTGCCATTTACAAAGACTAAGGATACACATCCTTTTTCAGTCGTGGCTCCATAGGCTACTGTTACCTTCCCTCTTCTCTGCCAAAGACAAATGTTCCCTCAAATTTCCTTGCAGAGCTGCTCCCTATAATCCCAAGTAATCCAGACTAGGGTACCTTTAAACTAACAGTGAAAGGATCTTCAGTTGTCCAAAGCTTAGAGGTGATCCTAACTAGACCTTTTTTTTACAGTGGACAGACCTTAATCACTGAGAGGACTGTAAATTTCTAAAATCTACATTTACATTTAGCTAAACTTGAACAGTCAAGTGTTTAAAATACAGAAACTCAGTTTCTTCTGAATGAGAACATAAGAATACAACAGACCTTTCTCTTCACATTCTTTGTCTCAGTCCAGCAACATTTTGTGGCATTTTGGGTTGCAGCAGGCCCCACGCAGGCTGAACATTCCTGCGAAATCTGAGGTCATGGCTGCCCCAAAGGCTAGGCTTACTTCCTGCTTCTGACTGCAGTTGTCTGCTCCTTTTTTTGCATAAGCTCTTCTATTTGTTAGACACCCCCAGCTTTCTGAAACAGCACAAAACACTCACTTTTGGTGGCAGCAAGCTGTCTGATTTACCCAGCTGTCTTGCACAACCTCACACTTGCTGTCTCTGGGTCACTAAGAAAGAATTTCTTGCTTCAAAGACTTGGCTCTGTCATTTTCTGCTTCTTTCAGGCGTCTGCTAATATCTGCCCTCGCTGCAGGCTCTGTCCCCACTGGATCATGCCCTCGTGCTCCAGAAGACTTTCCCCTTCAGTCAAGGCAAGGCAGGCACAGAAAGGCAAAAGGGCAACCCTCTAGCTGGACACTGAAAGGGAACAGGGCAGACACAGCATTCTGTGCATGCACTGATATTTAGCATCCCTCTCTCTCATACCCAGACAGGGACAGCAGTGGGTGTAGATATGCTGGACAGCAGTGGGTGTAGATATGCTGGAAGTCACAGTCTGTTTGGCTGGGGGGGGGGGGGGGGGGGG